CCTGTCATGCCAAATGAATTTAAGCAAAAATACATTTTTTTCTTAAACTATTTTTTGAGGAACATTCAATATTGTAAACTATTTGCATTGTAATAATTTCACCTCTAAAGTAATAAAAAAAAATGTACCTTGACTTAGATTAACTTGACATGACAGATGGTATTTTTATTCAAACTAAGTTGCAATTAGCATTTTAACAATTGATATTGGAGTATTTAATGTCAAGAAAAAATATACCACATTTTAATTATTTTGATAGCAAGATTGTTATAATAAATAATTTAGAACATTGAATGCTTCCAAGAGAATAGTTTCAAAGTAAAAATGCACGCTAACACAGTATACAAATATGTAAAAAGAAATTATTTGAACGCCACCTGCTTGTATTTCAAAACACTCGTTTTTAAGTCAAAACGCATCTTCTATTTATATAGAATAGAAAGATAGATACATATCTCAATTTGTTATAATAGATGTTTAATATTAATTTTTAATTTATTTAATATTAATTCATGAATTCCATGATTCTTTATCCACTTATATTATAAATGAAAAAATTAAAACAGAGAAAATTTATTTATACTCTTCCATTTAAATTAGTTAGCATTTAAGGATAATGCTAAAAAAAATTGATGATATGTTTCATGGTCATTGGCATTATTTTTGGTAGAGAATTAAACATATGTGCTCAATAAAATTTACAAACAAGAAAAAGTAAGTTTACATGCAAGCGGTAAACAAAATGAAAGCGAAATATTTGTACAAGTTCACATGGCGACTGGGAACATCTTATGTCCATCTCATCTTTAATAATAATGGGAATAATGCCCAATAGGGGTTCTTCCAAAAGGTACCTTCCAATCCAACGTTAAACTCACATGCAAAATTAGCCACATTGTCTGCTAGTTCCGTTCTTTCATCCACAAACATCAAGGCCCTATTCGGTGTATGAGAATCCTATGTGTGGAAGCAGAATTGGACGTGGAATTTGAATTTTAGCATGTTTGGTATCATAGCATCTAGATTCCCAAGAATTCATATTCTAGCAAAAATTGCAAAATTAAATTCCATCACTAGCATGATAGAATTGGCTCATTTTTCATAGAATTGTGTCCCTAACATTTTGGCCCTTACCATCATCACCTTGTCTTCCTCCAACCTAGCCTTTGTGTGTAAGATCCTGGATTTTAATTTTGAAAATTTTCACTATTTATAAAGGTATTTTAGTCAAATTAAGTGAGTTTTTGATTAGTAATTTTTTTGGGAGACTAATGTAACTAATAAATCCTTGGACAACCTTAGAAGAGGGTTAAATCGGAGTTTGAGCGAGCTATGGCATAGAGAAAGGCCAAAACGTGTTTAGGGTTCTCCATGCCATGCACCGTGGTGCATGTGCAAAATCTGCATTAATCAGCTCGCGAAATTAGACAAAAAATGAGAAGTGGGATAGAGAGAATATGGAGAGGCAACGATTTTGGTGCTAGGGCTCGACCTTTGACATTGGAAGCATTTGGAGCAAGATTTAGCTTTAGGTAAGCTTCTTTCACTTCTCCTTCTCCCTATATTTGAATTTTCTAATGATTGGATATTTTAGGGCTATGAATTCGTGTTTTCATGGGCAATGGCCAAACCCATTGCCTTAGTTAAGGCTTTGAAAAGTTAAATTAAACCTCTAACTTTAAGTTTATGAGTTTTATGGTGATTTAAAATTTTTGGTTAGGGTTTGGACAAACTCTAGGTAGGGATTGGATGATTAAAAACAATGTGCGTAATGTAATGGTGTTATTTATGTGTTGAGATGTTAAATAGGATTAAATTAGTGTGTTAGAAGGGTTGTTGAGACTAAATTGAGGTTTTGAGTATAATGGGTATCCCTAGTTGTACTATAAAACGGGGTGATTAATGTGAAGATTTAACAATTAAGGATTTAATTATGTAGATTAACCTTTGAGCGAGTATTGTGGTGCTAGTGGATACGTGTAGAACTATTGATTGACCACGGTAACTTCTTTAGTGACAAAAAGGTTGAGGTAATTTGATTATCTAATCTCTCTTTTTGTGTGTTTGGATGGTAGTGTGTAAATTTCAAAATGAATGTTTTAGTTTGGTATTAATATAGTAATAACATAAAATTATGATTGTGAAGTTATGTGAAATGAAATGAAAACCTGCTTTAATACTTTTATATTTGGAAAGCTAAATGCTATTTTTATATATAATTACTTGTGAAATTATATAGTTTAAGTGAAAAATGAGAAATTGTGATAATTTATATGTTATGACCATGTGTTGGAATCCTTAAGCATGTTTGACATGATCATTATGAGAAGGTGGGAGTTCAACTTAGTGTGTTTTTGGAACATTGTTTGAAAATTTATATGGTATACTGGCACCGTGAAGGCCTCAGTGCTTAATATTATATTGTTTGAAAGTCCCAGTATGATGAGTAATAGATTGGACATCGACACCTCTAGTAATTATGGACAAGGGAAATCTGTGACCTATAGTGGGCGAAGGTGCTCTTGGCTAGGGCTACTTCCTACTAATGGTGAACTTAGGCCAGTCTAATCACATGTGTAACAGTCCTCAGCCCACCTCAATGGGGGTCTTTTGGACTAGATCAGCCCACCTCATGATAGCGGAATAGCCAAGTACCACCTTATAAAAAGCTGGCTTCTGCTACAGTAAGGTGGATTGGCCCAGTCCAAAAGACCTCTGGTAGGGTGGGATGGGGGTAGGATGAAGACTGTTACAACATGCACTTGGTCCTTTTGAATTGTCAGTTCAGTTGAAAGACATAAGGAGGGTATCAGGTGGTGCGTGGATCATGCAATTATATTATAACCATATGTGTGGATTTATGAGACATGTTACATGATTTACCATGCCACTTCACATGCACACAGACTGTTCTCACACATGAATAGTTATTAGAATATTTAGTTATTGAGTCCTCGACTCACCCCATGATTACATTTCATAGATGAAGATTTCAATAAGGACAAGGGAAAGGAAGGTGCAATTGAGTATCGAGGGGACTAGCTCTCAGTTGTATAGTCCTTTCACTTATTTTGGTTTATAACGAATGGTTGAATGCATATTCCAACTTAAGACATATATATATATATATATATAGTTTTGTGATACACTTGCATGAATTATGTTGTGAATTATGGGTATCTCAGCCTGAATTTGTTATATCTGTGTTGTAATGATTGTGAGAGGTTGAAATACTAGTGAAGTGTTAGTTTTGTATTAAATTGTGTGTTTGATTAGCCATTGGGTTATTTACGAGACATTGTTACCCTTAGTAAATTTATGTTGAAATTGGGATTTTAGTGGTCAAATTGTGTTTGGACTATTGTGGTTGTGATTTAAATACTTGAGCAAGTTGTTTATGATCCATTTAAGTTGGGTCAAGTGGTTTTATGGCTATTGGCATTTGGTTTGAGAGTTTGGGCACATTGGTAGTAATTTTGAAAAAAAAAATGTGCCATTTTAGGTTTGGGTATCCAAATCTCATTTGGCTCAGTGTTTAAATGTGAGACCGATGCCAATAGCTAGGTGGCTCTAAAAGCTATGTGTGGGACATTTGAATTGCTCGAATCGAACTTCATATGACAAAATGACGCACTCCAAAAGTTGGCTTAAAAAGTTATCATGACAGCAGTTTGTTGTTATGACAAGACACGCGTAGTAATTCTATGATATTAGAAAATTCATTCTCGCTCACTAAATTATAAAGTTTGAAGCTTTACTAAATACAAAGTTTGTAGTAGAGCTTGTGCATGTAGTAATTCTATGAAAATATTTAGACTAATCCAAAATGAGATTCCTTTTGAATCACTTCATGAGCAATGCTTCATGTGAGATAAGAGATATTATGGCAAGATAATGATCTATCTCTCTCGACTAGAAGCAAAAAGTAAGTAGTGTTGACTACGTGGCTCAACTGACTTCATTATGATGATATTGTTTTGATGTTTGATGATCATTGGTAATCCTTCTCAAGAGTGTGCCAACCTTTTGTGAGCTGAAACTTGTATTAGAAGTCATAATCCAAATTATTAACTCCATAGCCATAAAACCTGTAGGAAGAGAATGGCAAAAATGTCCAAAAAAACTAATTAATTTAATATAGGCCACAAACGTTAAATTTTAAGAATTTACAAGTTTAATTTTTAATCTCTAAACTATTCCATTTATTTTTAAGATAAATCAATCCATTGGCTTAACAAAATTTTATGATATATAAAGAGCTTATCATTAATATACAATATATTTATTATTAAAAATTTAAAAATTTACAAAAATTTATCATTAATATACAAAAATATATTATTGACAAATACAATAAATCAATCATAATAAAAAATATAATCAATATTAGGTTATTTATTTAAGTTGGTCATATACAAAGATTATATATGTAAAAACCTTTTATTTTTATTGAAGACCAATTGCACCATGCCCGAACGTGTTTAGAGGATAACAATCACTTACATAATCACTATTACTTGGAAGCGACTATTAATTAATTAATTATAATTAATCATTGGTGGTATCATTTATTGTAGGACCATGTCCTAATATCATTCATCAGACATCCTCTTACAAAATGTTTTTCATTAAAAAGATTCCTGACACGCGCTCAATGGATGTGGAATTCTTGTTTAATCACTCATTTGCAGTTCATTGGATCTTACAATAATAATCTAATCACGATTCAGTCTCCCCTTCACAAAACAAGCGGCATAGGCACTACGGCTCATAACCACTTGATTCAACAGAGCCGGGGTTTTTGGATTGCCTTTCCACCCAGTTGCAGAAATACGCTAGTCATTGAATCCCCAATGCACTAGAGTTAATGATTAAAATCATAATAAAATCATAAAACAATTATAAACAAAACATTTCACGCATGTTAATCCAAATTTCTGTATTATGCTTTCTCAAAACAATACAAGGATGCAAGAAAATAGGAGTGCAGCTACAATAACTTGATAATCTTAAAATGTATTACCTACCACTTGCTGTCAATGATTAAGGAATACAGAATATGCATTTAAAGATACAGGACCAGTTGTGCAGAACTAAGCAGCTCCACAGTGAGACAAGAGACAGTTTCACTCTACTTTGGCTTTACAATAACATGAAAACTCATCTGCAATTAGTTTTTTTTTTTTCCAAAAACATACAGCACCTAGCATTGTCTCAGGTTAGGATCTCATTGTGAGACATAACAGTAGCTACTCAGTGACCTACATATATATATAAATAGCTGAAGACCCAAATGTGTACCTAAATTATAGCTTAACTTGTGATAATCACATCACAGTTAAATCAAGCACATGTGGGGTTCATTCCACAGAGAAGAAAGTCCATGTTCTTCACTTTCTTCCACAAATTAGGAACTTTCTTCAACTCACAATCCTTTCCTGCAATATCTTCCTTCCACTTGAACCTTCGACTCAGTCTCTGCATATGAAGCCGAATCTCCAAAGCTATCCCATCACTGTTCTTGACCTTCTTCTCCAAACAGCCACTATCATTATCCTCTCGTCCATTGTAATCTCTTCTCAGAAGCTGCTCGTAATATTCCTTGTTCCTTTTCTCCAATCCATTGATCTGTGCCTGAAGATCTTCAATTTTCCTATGCAGCATGAACACTCTATGATCCTCCCTCATCTTCACCACACACTTGGCTAATTCCCCTGCCTTCCTCTTCACAAACATAGACTCTGAGGCCAAGCCTTTGTTCTCTTCCACTAAAGCCTTTACTCTGAATCCCAAGCTAGCATTCTCATTCAGCAGAACAAGCCTCTCTGACTCCAAAACCTCAAGCAGGCTCTTCTGGAGATCTATTTTCCTTGAAGACTCCCCATACTTCTTCTCCATCACACAGACCTCATGGATCATAATCTCATAGTCCACGTTCTTGATCACAAGCTCAGCAACAATGGAATCTATGTCAATCAAGGGAGTGTTGGAGAACTTGGTTTGAGGAGGAGTAGGCTGCTGCTGGTAAGACAGTGAGCTTTCCATATCAGAATCAACCTGGCTCATCCCACTGGCTGCTTCTTCTTGGTCTGAATAGCCATCTTCAATGGTTGAAACTTGAGATGAGTGTCTGCTATGGTGATGGTGGTGGTGCTTGTGTTTGGCCAACGTCTGGATGTAACGATCAGACAAGGTAATATAGCCATTGTACAGATCCTGCAAGAGTGTCAGCAGCTGAGGACGCTTCTGATAGTATGATTCTGCCCTTTCTGCAAATGTATCTCCCACTTCTTCATCTTCTATCCCCATGGTCAGCACCTTCATCCTCTCCTCCAGATCTGACATTGAACACCAAATCAGAAAGCAAGTAAAAGCAGAAGAAGAGGTGGAGGAGGAGGAGGGTAGAGAAAAGTTTTGATCTTGTGAAGGGGCAGTTGACTGTAGCTAACCTGATATACTGAGACCCATTGTTTTGGATGGATTTCCCAGTCAAGAACTCAAGATGAACCAAAAAGTAGAGTTAAATAGACCAGAACCCAATTAGGATGCTCTATAATTTAGGGGTAGAAGAAAGGGACAGGCCAACCAACAATGACACAAGAGAAGGGAACACTGAGAGAACCACAATTAATATAACTCAGGAAACGTTAGAGGAAAAAGTTAAAACTTCTCAAGGACCTACACACTATTTCAAAATGGGAATTTGAATTCACAAGCGACTTTGCTTGCAGATACAGGCTAGGCTATTAGGGTATGGCGTAGGACTGTGCTGCAACAAATTAAAGCACAAGTCAAAATCATGTACCTCATCAGTGCATTTACTGAGTGTGAAGAAAAGTTCTTATCTTCCCCCAACTTCCTTTTAAACAAAAACAAAAAGGGGTTCTGAGCGATCTGAAGAACATGCACAGGAAGCGAGGATAAAAAGTATGGTCGCCGTAACAGATGCCAACAATATCTATTGTGTACTGCAGCAAGAAAACTAGATTGGGACCATTGTATATATTCTTGCCTCACGCTATCCTCCGGTTTCAAAATTTAAACTTGAGAATAGGGTTTGAACTTTGAAGGGTCCATGCAAAGGAACAAAAAGATAAAAAAGAAGGGAAATTTGAAAAAGATCAGAAGACAAAGTGGAAATTTAAAAAACACAGAGACACCAAGAGAATTTTTCTTCAGATTATGAAGTCTCAACATTCAACAACAAAATTGTCAAGGAGGCTGGCTCGCAATTACATAACGGGAACAGTTTCCAACGCAAATTCTTCACAAGGGTCAATTTGAGTAACGCATTGGCCGAAGAAAAGGAATGGAAACTAATTTTTTAATATAATTGTTGTGTGTACCGTTGTGGGCTTTAAATAATTTCAAAAAATGGAGGGGGAAGCGCGTGGCAGAGCTGAGCGTGGAGGAGAGAGAGAGAGAGAGAGAGAGAGAGAGAATCGACGTACGGAAAATGGTAATTGGAGGAAGAGAAACACAATGTACATAAGAGGGACAGATGAGAACTGGAGGATTCTTCTGCCTCTGTTGTTGATGTGATAATTGATTGAAGGATTTATTGCTCCTAAAAAGGTTTCTCTAACCTCTTCTCACTTCTCACCTGGGAGGCGCATGTGATCTCAATTAATTCTGATTTCTTTTACCGGGGCCCCTACAAAAGTTAAAACATTTTTAATTAAACCTTACAAATATTTTTAATTTTATTTTATATTTATTTTTATTTAATAAAATATATTATCTTAAAATAAATATAAAATAATTTATTTAATAAAATTACTTTAAAAAAATAATAACTATATTTAAAAAATTAAAAATATCTTATATTATTAAATATTTAATTTTTTAAAAAATATTTTATATTTTTGAGTGAAGTAAGTAACTTTTTCATTTTTAATTGTTGGTTTTTAATTTTTAGTTATTTAAAAAACTCAAATTAAAATTTAAATTTTCAATGTTCATGATTTTCTATTTAAAATTTATATCTACTCTGTTAAAAAATAGAAGACATTTTTAATTGAATCTCACTTTTTAATAAAATAGTTACCTATTTTAAATTAATATTATCTTTTTATATTTACCTCTATTAAACACTTTATAATAAGCATAAAGTCATTTATTAATAGAGACACTTAAAAAAAATATGATTGCATTTTAAAAGATTAAAAATATCTTATATTTTTAAATATTTAAATTCTCAAAATATACCTTATATTTTTAAACAAAGAGAGTAAGTTTAAATTTACTATTCAATATTCATGACTTTTTTTTTTCCTTAACATGTTTCACCTTAGATAAAGGAGAATTTAAAAAAAAAAACAGGAAAGGTAAAGGAAAACTGTGGAAGTTATTAAATTTATCTTAAAATTAAATATTTTTTTAAAACACTCTATGATTCTACCTCCTTTAAAAATGATTTAATTTTTTAAAACATAAGACATTTTTTTAAAACAAACAAAATTTTATAGATAATAATTATTCTAATATCACCTCTTATTATTTTACTTTTTAAATAAATTTCTTGACACTCTTATTAATAAAAGATATTTTTAAAAGTTTGTAAAAAAAATTTATAAATTTTACTCCTCCAATCCAAAACATAAATATTTTCCTCCTACTAATCTTAATTTAAAATATAAGTAATCTATTACATGCAAAAAAAAATTTATTTTACTCCTTATATTTATTAAAATAAATAATTGTGTAAATGTATCTTTCAGTGATAATTCAGATTAAGAATAAAAAAATAAAAAATATATTTTTATGAGAATAGGGATATTAAATTAAAAAAAAACTGTTTATATTTTGAATTAGATGAAGTATTTAATAAATTTTATTTATATGTAAAATTTTACCCAAAAAAAAATATCTTATAAATTGTAAAGGAAAAAGTAACTTGTCAGTCATAAATATGACCAAAAGATCCTCGTCTTGAGCCTTACAAATTGGACAGGATGAACTAATTAGTATAGGCTTTATGTTGCACAAGATCATATTGGAATTCTTAAAATTTTTAATATATAAATATATGATACTCCCTCCATTTAAAAATATAAAATATTTTTAATCAAATTTCATTTCATAACAAACTAATTATTTACTTTTCAACTAATCTTATTTTTTTATATTTACCCCCATTAAACACCCTACAATAAATATAAAATTATTATCAATAAGAATGCTTTTAAAATAAAAGCAATAATTACACTTCAAAAAATTAAAAATACTTTATATTTTTTAATATTCAACTCCGTAAAAAATGCCTTACATTTTTAAAGAGATGGAATACATACTTTGATTTTCAATTTCAATTTTCAACTTGTGCTTTTTTTCCCTCAAAGTAAAGAAAAACTAAAAAAAAACTATTTGTCCACAATTGTGGGCCAAGGGCCTATAAAATAATTACCCTATATTCATGACACTTATTTCTCCAAATTTTTTGGCATCCACTCTTTTATTTAAAAAAAAAAAAAGCCAAACCAACAAATACGTTCAATTAAGTTCATTTTATTTCACTCAAGAAGGAAAATAAAATAAAACTGAGCTTATTTTATGATTAGGATAGGCATGTGGCAGCATGGGTTCACTCCGGACTTTGACTTACGGAGTCAAGTGAGAGTAAGAACGAAAACGGACCGATGGATACTACATTGAAAAAGCTAATGAAGTAAGAACATGAAATCAGAAACAAAAACCAAATTTCAGAGAAAAAAAAATAAAAAAATAAAAAAAGAAACCAATACCGGTAATGTGGGTGAGGAACCAAGAGGGCATGTTGACGAGGGTACAGTCTTTGAATGCTTTTGCAGATGACGAGAGATGAGAATTTGAAATCACTTTGTCTTCTTCCTTTTGCATATAAACCAGGTTTGAGGCCCCCTCCATTAATGTTCTTGATTCAAGATCACCCTGAATTTAGCTTTAAAAACAAAATTAAAGATAATTATATGCAAAATACGAAAATATGATAGAGCAGTAAATAGAAAGCACTAAAACTAGACTCATCCAACCGATCAAAATACTTATTTGAGAAGATCAAACAACTCATAAATAAAACATATTATTAAACCAGTTACATATGATTCAAATATGAGTTAACCCGATTTGCATGATACAGTAATAAATACTAAATAGCAAGACCTAATACTCATCCATGCTGGCATGCTCTTTGGGATTATGACCCTTTGCATTTAAAGCAGGCAATGCTATGAACACAACAAAGGGGGGGGGGGGCAGAGCAGAAACACAAAAACATGAGAACGCAGATCTCAAAGAAGCAACTGATGGAGCACGGAAATGTTTTTTGAATGAGGATTTGTCAAATACCAATATATTAAACTAGTATTTTTGAATAAAAGTGGTTTTGTTTTCAGGCTCTCTGAGGTTTGTATGGGATCAAGGTGAATCATGTGAGCTGGGAAAAACAGGGACATTGGGCGACTGGGCACTTGCTCTGTTTGGCAAAGGGGAAAACAGAGGAAAAGGAAAGAAAGTTGGAAACTTCATGCAAATTAGGACACCGGATTGCTATACAACACTGACCCAATTTAGTTCCGAATAAGAATCATGAAAACAAGAGCAAATAAGAGAAGGGGAGACTCACCGGAATTTCCAGATTGATGGGTGGCAGAGAATCGTGACGGAGAAGAAGAGCGCTCGGAAGGATGAAAGATTAAAAGCAGACACAGAAAGAAGTAAGCAAGCCAAGTGACGGGAAAGAAAGGAATGAGGGCCAAGGCATAAATGCGTATAATGAATGCCACGTCACCAGTCAAGGGGCCATCACCAAATTCTGCACTGGAGTTTTTTTTTTTTTTTTTTAACTACCAAATTTTTTTTTTCTTTACAATTAGAGCTGAAAATACAGATAAGTCCAACTTTAAAGACTTTGATTCTTATGGGCTCAGACTTGAACCCAAAAGCTTAATTTTTTATTTTAAATCTCATTTTTAAGTTCAGTCCTTATGTAAAGGGTTCAGAGTTGAGCCTCCAAGCACTTTTTTAAAAAATAAAAAAAATTAAATATTAAATATTATAAATTAATTAAAATATTTTGAAATTAAAAAAAATTAAGATCCTCATAATTTTTTAAAAATTAAACAACACACATTTAGAAGTCTAGTAATAAAATTTAAATCTTGGTTAAAAATAATTTATTTTTTATAAATACACCAACATAATAATTATAAAAAAATAAAAAATATCATAAATTTTATACTATACACTGATATTTATTAAATTATATTAAATTAATTTTAAAATAAATTAAAATTAATAATAATATAATGCGTGTTGGATCGGGTGAGAAGGTCATTGGTTTTAAACATGTGTTCTACCAAAAAAAAAAAATAATAATAATAATGTAATAGGATTTGAAGGACTGCCCGAGCCCAAGCCCGAGCTTTTTTTTACAAAGTTTATTAGGGCCAAGCCCTCAAACCTGATTGCTTTAAAAAAATTATTTTTAAAGCCCGAGCTCTTCTTTAAACAAGGCTTTCAAGTTCGGCCCTTCAGGCCCGACTTTTATTCCCGGCTTTATTTACAACCAATTTGTTCACAGTCCTCATCGTTCCTCCAGTTTTTAAGCCACGGTTTGAATTTTAATAGAATATAATTAATTAATTTTAAATGTATACATTATTTTTTAAAACATAAATATTAATAAAATTGTACATAATATTATTAAATTTGTGAATTCTATTCAAAAAATAAAATATGTTAATGTCAATATAATAATAATAATAATAATAATATAAATTTTAAACAATATGTGTAAAATAAAAAGAAGTCACGACCTACCAATTAAGAAAAAATATAATATGAAAGTTGAAGAGAGAGACACGAAACTCTCTGAGGATGTGACACATGGACTACAACACCCAATTTCAGAAGACTTCACTTCCCCTCGCTCAGTCTCCAACATGCAAAATAGAGGCTTACAATTTGCTGGAGGGGTATGGCTGGGATGTAAAATTTTTGACTGCCGACGCATGGATCTAATGTTAAAAATCGATTCTGATAACCTCCTCATTCTAGCTTACAGTAAAAATCGATTCCAGCCTTTTTAATCAATTAATAGGATCTTGTGGTGTTTGGATAATTTTCATTTAAAAATTGATTATGGCTTAAAAAATCGATTGATCGCCCCTATCCAGACAGGCAGTCAATTGCGTTATGGTGTTGACTAAAAAAGATTGCGGTGTGTTGGGTTTTTTTTAATGTATTTTTCTTTTTTAATAAGCTAAGAGCATTATGGTTATTGATCAGGACCCTATAAAAAAAACCCATATCC